ATCAGAGCAACGGTGTATACACATGTCCCGATTATGATCACTGGTGGGCCAGGATCCCCCTATCGAGGGTTGGTCCTGTTGATTAGCCCTGGAGTGCAATGATCATATGATCACGTGATCCTCCACGTGATTAACCCTGGAGCGCCAGGATCCCCTGATCGTGGGTTGTCCCTGATTATGAACCCTGGTGTGCCAGGATCATAATTATGATCACCTGTTCCTCCTTATGATTAACCCTGGAGTGTCGAAATCATATGATCACGTGTTCCTCAATATGATTAACCCTGGAGTGTCGAAATCATATGATCACGTGTTCCTCCATATGATTAACCCTGGAGTGTTGGGATCATATGATTACGTGTTCCTCCATATGATTAACCCTGGGGTGTTGGGATCATATGATCACGTGTTCCTCCATATGATTAACCCTAGAGTGCTTGGATCATATGATTATGTATTCCTCACGGTGATAAACCTTGGAGGGCCAAGTTTTCGTGATCGTTGGTTGTCCCCGGTTATCATTCCTCGAGTGCCAGGATCACATGATCAGGTGTTCACCCTAATGATGAGCCCTGAAGTGTCAGGAGCCCGTGATCGTGGGTTGTCTCCGGTTATCAACCTTATAGTGCCAGGATCCTGCAATCGTATCTACGTCATGGTTATAACCCTTTGTGTCACCAAAGTGGTACATTTGCACATCCTGCATCACTCTGTGCTGTCCCCACACATAACTGTTTAATAGATCAAAGCGGTATGAACCCACTTCCTAGATCTTAACCCAGAGGCGTTAAGTTGACGTGACGTCATTCCCAAAACCTGTCTTCCTGCACAAATCACCAGCAAGAAATCATTTTCAAAATAGTGTTACAAGCAGGTTGACGCGTATCTCTATGGACAGTGCCATATTGAAATACAAATGTCACCTCACAATTGTCAAGGGGAAATTCAATTAATTTTATATACATGTATGTAGATATATATTTTTCTACACGAAAAAGGTATTCATTGTACCTTCGATTAAAGCAATAATGACTAATATATCTGGAGCTACACAAATTATTTACAAACGCCTACAAGTGAAATAATGTATAATAATGTATTAAACTGTTTCCATATATAAAAATTTATAATACATTGGCCATAACGGCTGTCTCACAGTAACGCTGCGGGATTCATAAAATCCATAAAATCCACATAATCCTGCTTCTTAAAATTCCTAATTTTATACTATCAAATGAATTTAGCACCGACTCTGTGGCGTTGATATTCCAAGTATTCAAAACAAACAGCCTGAAGTCTGAATGGGGGAGGCATGTTTACAATGATGATGAAACTCAGACAGCTCTGGTTGCGACTTGGGGGCGTCATCTCTGTGTGTGTCAGGAATTCTCAGAATACAGGTATGGTTACGTCTGTTCCATTACTTCTTACCCAGTTCTGGAATTTGTCACGCCGCGAATAGCTGTACATTTGCTCATGCCGTGTTATGTAATCCTCACTCACTCACTGGCCTTGTCAATATTCAATACAGTTGCGGCATATGGCAGAGTGGGGATGATGCATGCTTCCAAAATATAATGCTGGATAAGTACAGTTGATAGAGACAAGCCTCATCTGTACCTCACACCAAAGTGGGATTTATAGTGTTAGTTCATGTTAGTGCGTATAAACAATAACGAAGAGGCTATTTCTGTGCGAAGTGTCTCTGTGTAAACTAACGTTTAAAAATTGTTTTGTCTTGTTTTAACGATCTGGGCTGTTTACTTTTGATTAAATGTCATTATGCTACTGACCAAAATTATTATTGAGATATCATTAGATACATGTCTGATTTCAGTTATCAAGGTCAAATGCATGTTAGCCATGCCTATACAATCAAAAGAGTAAACAAACCACGAATCAACCAACCTAACTAAGAAAGAAACACCACATACATGATGCACACACATGCTTTCCAGATACTGAGTTACAACAACGGGGCGGGGGTAGCCTAGTGGTTAAAACGTTCAGTCGTCACGCTGAAGACCCGGGTTCGATTCCCCTCGTGTGTACAATGTGTGAAGCCCATTTCTGGTGTCCCCCGCCGTGATATTGCTGGAATTTTGCTAACAGCGGCGTAAAGCTTAACTCACTCGCTTACAACAATATATTTTTGGTTTTCAACGCCGTTGTTCCAATCTGGACTTGGGAGACGAGGAAAGACGCCTTCATAGCAATGATCATGGCTGTAATGCTTTCTCAGGCTGCGTTTTGTCACATTTGCGTTATAGTTCATGTGCCCTGTGTCCCATATGTACGAGTAAATGCAAATACCGCTTAGTATACGATGGATGCACGTGATTTAGGGTGCCACCGGTTTGGTAGGACAAGGTCAACTTTTCGCGAACACCTGGTATCATCTATTTGATAATGATTCATAAACACAAGCTCTGCCATTGTATCTGACTGACTGACTGACCATTATTGGCATGAGTTTATTTGATTGATTCGCACGCTCTGCCAGCAATATTCAGCAATCATCACGGCGGTCCAAACTCAGAAACAGACTTCCATCATTGTGAGTGAGTGGGATTCGAACGCCGGTCTTCGGCGTGACGAGCCAATTTAACCACGGGGACTACCCCACCGCTTCAAACATTGTGCTCATTGTGAATCGAGTCACTCAGCTTGTCGAGTCGCAAACCGAATATCTACGGACAGCCCCCCATCATACAGTGTAATATTTGCCGAGTCAAACCAAACCAACAAACACATGCTTATAATAACAATGGAATGGTACAATCGACTGAGCATTTAGCAGTGATTGCTTATAGACTTGGAAAAGGTTTTGTCACATAAATGTATTACAGATGTATTAATATCGTCTTATCCTGTAGGATAGGGTAACCTAATGTTTACAGCGTTCGATTTCCACATGGGAACAATGTGTGAAGCCCATTTCTGGTGTCCCCACCGTGATATTGCTGGACTAATGCTAAAAGACGGGTAAAACTCACTCACTCACTCACTCACTCACTTTATCCTGTGCTCCACATTTGGCTGTGCCATCAACCTATCACCTCTTAGTCAGAATTACTGTTCAAAGAATATACTGCCTCTCCTACAAGTGTAAGAGTCTAACCCCGACAGGTATGCTGGAATTTCAAACCAGAAACAAATGCTTACTTCCGCGTGGGCAGCAGTAAATATCCATGTAAAGTCTTACGTGTTACATTTCGTGATACCGCACCCTACGCCCAATGCTCACAAGGAGGTGACCCAGGCTATTAGCATATGACCTCGGCGATATATTTGTAGCAGTATTAATAGCCTTCCCCATTCATTAATGAACAGAATCTTGTAACAACCACTTTGAGACAAGTAAACGGAGTGTAGAGCCAGACCGGTAGTAAATACTGACGAGCAATAAGGATTTTCTTTTGAAACATTTTTACAGGGTGAGTGTGCTTTCATTGTACATGCATATATGTTAGTTTACAATTGTAGCGCTTTGTAATTTCTATTGTTACAGCATTACCTCTCTTAACAACGTGTGGTATGGATTTACGACTTCTTTGATATTACAACACGACGTTTCTGGGCTACTTCTTGCCATTCTACGATTACGAGCAAAATATATATACTGGACAAAATATGTTAGGGATATTGGTATTTTTATGATTTATTTTTTATCAGTGTGTCAATGAATAAATAGATCATTATTCATAATTTCAAAATTTACATATATCCCTAACTATTTCTGTCCAGTATGGTATGTACAGGAGGAGGCCAGCGAGATAGTATCACAGATTGAGATGTATAGAGATTAAGTGATATGTTTTGATTGAGATCAAAGAGATTAAGTGGTATGTTATGCAAAGGGTTAGATGTGCAGAGTGCATGTTAATACAGCAGCATTACCTCTCATTTTGCATTTTTTAACCTCCACTATATTTTCTTCCATATTTATAATTGTATATAAACTGATGGTGGCTGTTGTTGGACTAGCTTCTGAAATGAAAAAAATGATGATCTCTTATATATATTGATTTCATTTCTTCATTTTATAAATTTCGAGGATTAGAATTTCCAAACATAACCTCAGGATGTTATTAGAGACAAGGTAAATATCCTTATGCTGCGTCTCAGATATGTGAGTTGGCTTCCACGGGTGCAAGACGTCTTTATTTAATGGTAGGACCTCAAGTTCGTCAGTTCCGACAATGAAAACATTTATTGCGGCACTAAAACAAAATCACACAATATGTCTGGTTTTGTCAGTAGCAGCAGTTCATTGTATTACATTGTCCAAACGTCGTAGTAAGCGTTATTCGGGTTATACCGAGCGGCGTGTAAGTACTTGGATAAACCAGGCGCTGATAGCATGACCAAATATCGATCGCGCACAATCCGATACCTCTTGCAACAAGCATGAGATAAGGGTACAAGCATGGCGAACTGACAATGAAACACAACAATGGAACATGTATTGGTATAGTGTTCTGGTATCGGTCCCTAGGCAGTCATATCCATCATCCGAAAAGCTCATGTGGATGACTCGGTGTTTTAATCATACGCTTGAGTGAGTGAGTGAGTGAGTTTAGTTTTACGCCGCACTCAGCAATATTCCAGCTATATGGCGGCGGTCTGTAAATAATCGAGACTGGACCAGACAATCCAGTGATCAACAGCATGAGCATCGATCAACGCAATTGGGAACCGATGACATGTGTCAACCAAGTCAGGGAGCCTGACCACCCGATCCCGTTAGTCGCCTCTTACGACAAGCATAGTCGCCTTTTGTGGCAAGCATGGGTTGCTGAAGACCTATTCTACCCCGGATCTTCACGGGTAAATCATACGTTTGAAGGTGATGCAAGCGTATGATATGCAATGCAATATGCAATACAGTGCAATGCACGGAGGTAAGATATTTGTATCATTATTTCAATTTGCGATGGAGAACAATATCGATGTAACAATGCTCGATAACCCTTCATCACTTACTTTCCTCTGTACAGACAAGCAGGAGAAGATGCACGAGAAGCTTCCCGGGAAGGGATTGGCCGCCATCTCGGAGGGAGAACCTTCTACAACCAGAGATGAAACTACCAACAGCAGTAAGTTGTCTTTCTACCTCGTTCATCCTTGTCCGGAGAGCGGAAGGTCGCGGGTTCGATCCCCGACCGCGTCATACCAAAAGACGTTAAAATATGGTACTTGTTGGTCCCTGGCTGGCGCTCGGCATTTATGGGTACAACAAGGAATGGTCGGCTCGGAGTCAGTATAATGTGTCTGAGTGGGGTATTCATGCTTCACTGCGGCATGGTATCTCAGTGGGCTAGCACTATAAAACCAGCTTCAATCTGGGCTAGTACTAGCAGCCGCACATACACATACACACGCATGCACGTCGTCATATGAGCGAAATATTCTCAAGCACGACGTAAAACCCAATTTCACCTCTCCTCGTACATCCTTGTCCTGCATCTTCACGCATTGAGTGAAAGGGTTGATTGGTTGTTTTTGAGCCGCACCCAGCACTATTTCAGCTATATCACGGACGCCTGTAAATTATGGCGTCTTATGAAGACAATCCAGTGATTGAAATACACAATGCCATTTAGAAAGTGGTCAAATGTAACATATGTTATATTTGGGATTACACTTTCTTAGTAAAGTACAGATTCTAGTACATTTTGGGTCGGGATTCGAACCCACACCCTCAGAGTCAGGTACCTAATCGCCAGCACACAAAGTCAGATGCCTAGACCGCTCAGTCACCGCGGCTCCAACAAAAAACGGAAGTCGGACAACTGGTAGTCTAGACTGCGGACTTTGTGTACCCCTCTGCAGAATAAGTGTTAATTGGCACGGCTCTCACGGCCGAAAGCTATGAGATACACAATGCCATTATAGAAAGTGGTCAAATGTAGCATACATGTATATTATATTTGGGAATCCAGTGATTGACATCATTATCATCTGTCTAGACGTATTTCTCCTCTTTCAACATGTATGGTTTGCTGAAAACCAATAACCCGTCTCTTCAAGGGTCGGATGAGTTGATGGTGAATGTGCACCACTGATCATTTTGACCCGTGAAGGTCCGGGTTAGAATGAGCCTCCAGTAACACATGCTTGTCGTAAGAGACGACTAATGGGATCAGGTGGTCAGGCTCGCTGGCTTGGTTGATACACGTCATCGGTTCCCAATTGCGGAGATCGATGCTCATGCTGTTGATCACTGGATTGTCTGGTCCAGACACGATTATTTACAAACCGCCGCCATATAGCTGGAATATTGCTGAGTGGCGTTAAACAACCTACCAAACTACGTCAGCGTGTATACATGACAGACCTGCGCAATTTCCTTATGATTGAAACACAACCATTAACATTGGCGCAGATCGATGCTCATGCTGTTGATCACTGGATTGTCTGGTCCAGACTCGATTATTTACAAACCGCCGCCATATAGCTGGAATATTGCTGAATGCGGCGTAAAACTAAACTCACTCACTCACTGATCATTGTATAAGTGCATTTTGTGTATTGCTGCATACGGTATTTTCAGTATATGTGTACGTACAAAACTGTACATTGTTCGTTCAGTTCTATGTCATGTTTGCATTTTCATTCCACTTTTCCCTTTGAGTCCAGATACAGTCTTTGGACGTTTCATTTTGTATTACATAATGACATTTCGAACTCTTCATGAGTTGAATGATATATTGTTCAACTTCATGCATTTCGTGTAACTAAGTGAGTACATTTAACTAAAGTTAAGTTTTTTTCGCAACATATGTGTGCAGTTAACTGAAAATTCCACGTTTGGATTTCTGCAGCAAATATACAGGCGGTATATCTATATGGTAATAGTTAAGGAACGGTGAATTCTCGTCAACGTGTATCACATGCTGGCATTAGTCACTCAAGATTTCCCATAGACCATAAAACTTTGAATAAATAGAGTTCAAAGAAATATATAGACTTCAAATGTTTAGAGTCAGCAAGTAGCGTCAGACGCCGCTTTTAGCAATAGTCTCGTAATGCCATGACGGGGTATACGGAACGTGGCTTCACACCTATTTTGTGACCGCTCCCGCCCAATCCATGTCGTCACACACGCTTTTACCTACGTATATTTGCATATACGTTTAATCTGAAATCGTGATGTTACTCCTTGAGGAAACATACGTCATATGGATACGTCAAATTCATTCAAAGCAACTCCCGTGCATGATTCAGCGTTGTCTCACGACAATGACAGGTGTTCACGAAGCGGCATGCCAATCCTGTTCTGCCAGTAACGCCTGTGGTGCGTCAAGGCCGAGATTACTACACAGCCTCTTGTCCCTGACAGAGAAACTGATTTATGTGTTACGATGTGCAAACTACTCAAACGTGTTCAACGAAATACGTGCTTATCGGTATTGGCGGGGCAGGACACGCTCACGTTTTCGCGAACACCTGGTAAAACAGCTATTTGATTGTGATTCATTAACACATGAGTCGGAATCATACAATGGTTTCTGTTTTTAGCAGAGTGAGTGAGTATGAGTTTACGCCGCTTTTAGCAGCATTACAGCAATATCACGGCGGGGGACACCAGAAATGGGCTTCACACATTGTACCCGTGTGGGGCATAGAACCCGGGTCTTCAGCGTGATGAGCGGACGCTTTAACCCCTAGGCTACCCCACCACCCCCATTTAGCAGAAGGTCCTTATTCTTGAAGTTTTTACCTCTCATACCATCGTTTAAGAAAGAGGCAATATGAAAGCATATTTGTCATCGGCTGCAAACACTTGCTTTGGGAACCGGTTTATTGAAATGCGTTGCCATGTATCAAAATCGCGTTACGTCTAAATCAATTCATACCAAAAGATATAATACTGTACAGTTAGTACGTTCTGTCGATACTGATCAATTAAGATACGAGGTATTGCATATTTACGTCTGTTTTATGTTCCCGAACTTTTATACGATTATACGATTATACGATGACCAAATGAAACAATGGCTGATGACTATGCACTAACATTTTGACATGACTAATATAGTGTAATGTATTATTGTTAAATGGCATTTTACCAGTTTATTACTTGTCAAATATAAGTTTAACACTGCATAAGTTGTAAAATAGCAGATTAGCTCATTACATCTCGTGTAAAATCGGTTCGCTCCTTTATATGTTGTCTTTGATGCTCGTAACAGATGACTAATTCTTCCATTTTGTCAAATCATCTTAGCTACCGATCGTTATTGGTACACCGAGGACAGTAGTACATACGTGCTCATACCCTTATCGTATCTTGACCTATTTACTTATCCTATGAAGACCACTTCACATCAAACAGTCAATTATCTAATATACAAGAGGTCCCCTGTACTTTTATCTTGGTTAAACGTCGACCTTGACCTTTAAGTTGCGCTCATGGTCAGGTTGATCACAATGGTAGTTGATAACCAATACATGATCACAGATCGGTCAGTGTTGTGGAGCTTTGTGTCACTTGTATGTTCCAGACAGTCCCGACAGCATGCTTGACAAGATCCCTGGAGGTTTGACCGTTATAACAGAGGACCAGCCAAAACGGTCCAGAGAACATTCAACAAATGACGGTATGTATTCCTTCACATTTGTCAGTACGGTTTTGCCTCTAATATACATTCAGTTGAGCAATATTGATATTCTTTGCAACTACTGGGTGCATTAATATTTGTTCATTTTACTCTTAAGAATTTTAAGAATTCTACATTAAGATGAAACTATAGAATCATTTTCCCACGGAGATCTCATTTCTTATTGCTATGATTATGGCATTTGCAGAAGTTTTAATTAATTTGGGTTGCTCAGGAATCAATATGCACTCCACCCATCCGCAAGAGGAAATAACATGAAAATGACACAGATACTCGTATTTTATGTAATCATTATTGCATGTTGCTAGTAGAATGGTACTTTTCTTTCAGAAATAACAGGAAACGAGCGCAAATTTTCAATCCGGACGTGTGTGAAGCGCATGCGTGAGGATACGGAGGACTACGAACGGCAGTTGCTGGGCTGTAAAAGCGTGGGAACATATGCCAGTATGGGTATGTATACAGTGTACACCACTATAGAGATCAGTCTGTGATAACCTTCTCCTTTGGCAATGAGTCATTTGGGTGTGACTGAATGATTAAATCTTAAACACAGCATTGGTCATATTTCAGATATATTGTTGACATTTCCTATTTTTGTTCATGATATAATTAATAAATATCCAGTATTATTAATACATCTGTCCGCTTTGCAATTTTTATCAATTAATAATAACTCAACATCTCGCTGTACTGAGTTCATAAACTTTGCTAGACTGTGTTCGAATCCAAGATGCCGCCTCGTATGTTCCTTGGTCTGTCACGAACATACTTCCCGGTTGGATTGACAATGTGGTAATCGACTGCAGTCTGTGTGATTAAAGCAGCTACGTGGTGATATCAGTGGACAATTACACTAGCCTCACAACCCATAGCCTCAGTGATGATGTTTCAGAGACGGTACACGTGCTGTTATCCAAGCAAGATGCCATCCGCTGTGTCCTTGAGGCGATGAACACGTTTCCCGACAAGGCGGAACTACAGTTCAGCGCATGCGCATCACTCTTACAAATGGCCTCGGCGTCAGGTATGTGGACCACTGTACTCAAGGTCGACTACTATTAAAACACTCATAAATATCTGAAATGAGATTCAGTTGTTTTGAAATTTATATTATTTACCTAGTTTTATAGTAATGCAGTTATAGGAGCATCTGATTATTCTAACACAGTTCTTGCTGCAGGTTACTTAACCTTACATTTATTTGATGTTTCAGAAGCCAATTGTTTCATCATCCAGCAGAATCAAGGCATCCCGGCTCTGCTGACGGTAATGAAGAGCTACTCAGAGAATGTCCGCCTCATCCGGATCCTGCTCAGCATCGTCGGCTTTCTCTCTTCGAGTGGTAATGATCACCATTTACCGTTATACCATGTAACAATACCGAGATGTCACCAAACCAGTAAACATAAAATATGAAAATGTAAACTATACTCTCCCAAAAAGGAAACGGATCATGAAAATAGCAATTTCATGTAGCAATGAATTAAAACGTGATTCATTTTACAAAAGGTTTTGCTCTGTTTATGAGTCCTATGGTGTTTATGTTTTGAAACATCACAACAAAACGCACCATCCGTAAAATACCCGTATTTAACAGCATGATTTTCAGTTTCGGCGTGTAGTGTCACAGAATACACAATTCACATGTAATGCACGTGAAAGTTGGGGATCAGATAGTCTCAATGATGGGAATAAAAGGTTGATCGCTGTCTGTCGATTATTCACTGTATTTGGAATATTGTTGACGAACGCAAAATGCCTCGTCTAAGTGAAGCCAACCGTCATATCGCCATTGGTTTGCTTGAAGCTGGTCAGTCACAACGTGCAGTTGACCGACGCATGAATGTTCACCAAAGCACCATTTCAAGGCTCTGGGAGAGATATCGCCGGCAGAATGCGGTAGCAGATGCCCCTCGTAGTGGGCGACCTCGAGCGACCACTGCGGCGCAGGATCGCTACATCCGGGTACATCACCTGCGTCATCGAACAGCTACGGCGACCAGTACCGCTCGACAAATACCCGGATTGAGGAGGCTTTCTGCACAGACCGTCAGGAACAGGTTGAGAGAGGCTGGTTTACGTGCCAGAAGACCTTATTTTGGCCCTGTGCTTCGAAAACAACATCGTCGACATCGAGTTCAATGGTGCACCAACGTTCAGGCCTGGAACCTACCGAATTGGCGTAGAATCTGGTTCAGTGATGAATCACGATTTCTATTGGAACGACGCGATGGAATAATGCGGGTGTACAGACGTCGACGTGAGCGTTTCGCCGACGCTTGCGTTCCCCAGGTGGACAGATTCGGCCGGGGGAGTGTTATGATGTGGGGGGAGATCACCTGCCGTAGGAGAAGTGATTTGGTGATGATCCAGGGCAACCTGACAGCTCAACGGTACTGTGACGAAATCCTACGCCCACACCTCCTTCCAATCATTGATTGTCAGAGGGAGTTGTTTCAACAGGACAATGCCAGGCCCCACACAGCACGCCACACTAGAGACTTCCTCCAGAACCAAAACATCAATGTGCTCCCCTGGCCCTCAAGATCACCGGACTTAAACCCGATCGAACATCTGTGGGATGCCCTGGGCAGACGGGTGCGACGCCGTAACCCTCAGCCCCAGACACTTCAGCAACTCGCACAGGCACTACAGGCAGAGTGGGCTGTGATTGGTCAACACGAGATTCTGAGACTTATTCGTTCGATGCCGAGGCGATGCCGTGCAGTTCTGGATGCCCATGGTGGTCACACGAGGTATTGACTTCAGCGCCACCACACGTCTCCATGTGACACTCAAACTGACTTTCCTCGAGTTGGTGCCAAAGACGGATAAGTCTGCATTCCCAGTGTGCAATTTCGCTATATTTCATTGACTCATAAAGCCTACAAGATGTTTCAAAATAAACATAAAAATACAGTTGAAATTCCTATATGCGTTTCTTTTTGGGAGAGTATATAATCCGCTTTAAAGGGATTACAGTGTATTCGATTCCTCTTTGTGACAGCTTTATGTATTATGACTACAGATGAACTGTCGGTACAGCTTCTGCAGTATGGCTGTCACTCGCAAGTCCTGGGGGCCATGTCTCAACATGCTGATGACAACGCCATCATAAAACAGTGCCTTTTTATTCTCGGCAACCTTGTTACAACAGGTGAGTTTCATTATTTATTAGCGGTCAAAGACGTAGTTCACACAGGTGCGTCCTTATATCTGGCAGGAATCGGTACGTGATCCTTCACTCTGACAGCGATATGCCGTTGTTCCTCAAGATCCGGGTGAGGTGGATGCATGTCATCGTAAAGCAAGATCGATGCTCATGATGTTAATCACTCGATTGTCTGGTGCAGGCTCAGTTAATACAGAATCAGTCATAACGCTGGACTATTGATTAATGAGGTCTTAAACAATAAAAAATGAAATGTTAGATGGACCAGTAGTAAACGTCCCTACTGTCAGATTCAGATGGCGCGAAGGTATGTATTCCCCACTACTTCCCTCCCTCCCAGCTCCCAGCTTCCCAGCCTCTCCGCCTGCCTCTAGTATTCACATTATTGAGCGTCTTCGGGCATGAACGTATTTCCATAAACGTACATCAAAACAATTGAAGTTAGAGATAGAAATCAAGAAATCTGTATTGACGTCAGTACCTGGACAGTGATTTGCCTGACCGGTTACTGACCTTTGTTAGATGCGGACACTGACAAGGATATATCTGGCCTGTGGTGTACCATAGTACCAGCTGGGGAAATCCGCCCTGAAAATAATAACCTTTCTCCCATGGCTCTCACTACTTAGAGAAAATAGGTCACAAACAACTCGCCTCCGTTGTCAAATGATTTCCTGAGACAATTTGGAACACTTTTTGATTTGCGCTATTGGACTGACATAATGACTACTTGTGTTATTTTCGTTTCGTATTTAATTATGTGAGAGAATGGGTCACCCAGTTCATTGCGTATTCCAGATAATTATGATTCAAACCAACCTTTTCCAAAGTCTCTTTGTTCGTCCGCGTAATACCCCTGCTCGTAGCCAGAGTGGAGAATGGAACACTGGTTGTCGGCGTGACGAGCTAAACTGAAAAATATACTAATGAATAAAATACATCATAAACATTTACAAAACGAATCACACATCTTGACTAATTCTAGATAAACGATGTTGCCCCAAGTCATCCATGAATACATTGATATCATCTTGCCAAGTATCTCGATCTTATCGTGTAAGGAAACATAATATTGAAACCCGGCTATACCTATCGTGCATACCTTAAGGTCAGTATTTACCTCTTGGGTATCGGGGCGGTGGGGTAGCCTAGTGGTTAAAGCGTTCGCTCGTCACGCCGAGGACCCGGGTTCGATTCCCCACATGGGTACAATGTGTGAAGCCCATTTCTAGTGTCCCCCGCCGTTGCTGGAATATTGCTTAAAGCGGCGTAAAACTAAACTCACTCACACTAGGATATAGCAAAGGGCATCATGTCTTCCTCGTGGTCTAAATGTCACGTCTATTCATTACCTCGGGATATTCATAATTTTCTGTTATTATTTCACGTTCTCACATAACGCAGTGAACTGGTCTGTTTTTCCATTATACTTAATGTTTGGGGGTTTTGTGTGTTGCAGTTGAAACTGCCAAACAGATCATGCTTGTGGGCGGCTTGCACACAGTCATTGACATGATGGAAACGTTCCCGGAAGATGTCGACATCTTGGAAAATGGCTGTCGAGCCTTGGGAAGCTTTGCGGCTTATGGTAATTTTCACACTGGTACATTTACAAACTGACTTCGTTGTAAAGATGTCCAGGATGGACACCGTAAAGATTAGGTTAGGTTTTAATGTCAATTGGAACCACAGCTTATCATGTGCGGTAACGTTGAAATCATTGACATAGGAACAGTGCATTTGAACAGAAGGGGTTTTGCAGAGTTGGGGCATAATGAAGAGAGACCACAATCACCGCTTCAGCTATAATCAGGCAGGCTAAACATAGACCTAAATAAAGTCATATATATAGTTATGTCTTTGTCTTGTCTGATGGTGTCCATCATGAACCTTTCTGTCTTGATGAAGTGTAGATTGAACAAACAATTCAGATACAATACGAAGCTGATGGTGACTTGAGCAGTGTGCGTGTTTTCTAGATGATACATGCCTGGACGTTGGTCAGGCCGGAGGCACCCGATCTGTCTTGGACGCTATGACGTCATCACCGGACAATGTTTGTGTCCTTGAGTGTGGCTGCTGGGCGCTTGCTTGTCTCTCTACTATGGGTAAGTGTTTGGTAGTTGCGATATACCATGTACCTTTTGATAACGAAAACGAACTGCTAAAAGTAATAAGTTTGCACTCCCTAACCCTACTGGCTGGGTGCATGGTCATTCCGTACATGACGGCAAAATTGTAAACCATGAGTTCCAGGTCTCGGAATTGATTTACATATGTCTGTGTATGCCCGAGTAAGCTCCGGGAACACTCATCAGTATACACAGGGTGTCATATATGAGCTAGGAGTGAGATAAACTGATGCAGTGCTTGGACGTTTAACTATTTTCGATTGATCAAGCCCAACAGTATACATGTAGTGTTCATGATCCAAGGATCCTAAACTGATTCAGTGATGGGAGGTTTAACTATTTTCCCATTGATCAGGCCCAACAGTATACATGTAGTTCTCATGATCCAAGGATCCTACACTGATGCAGTGATGGGAGGTTTAACTATTTTCCCATTGATCAGGCCCAACAGATTACATCATAAGATCATGGTCGGATGCCTGAAACCCTACAGACCATTCTCCTGCCTAGGTTTGAGGTTCTGCTTGTCATCATGTTGTACTGATGATGAGTGTCTGTCCCCAGGCGATTCCTGTGAGGAGATGCATCAGTTGGACGGGGTGTACACCCTACTGGCCACCCTGGAGGAACACCCGGAGGAGGAGAGTCTGCAGGAGTATGGGGTCAGGACCATCTGCAACCTGGCAGCTCTCGGTATGTAGGACATGGATGATTGTATATTTCCATGGAACTATACAAGGAGCGCTCAACCAATAGTGCAGGTTTCTGTGAACCTGTCAGAACACTATACGTCATGTGCCAAAATTTGAAAACAAACAGACTTGCATGTGAAGCAGAAGGTTACAAAACAAAACATCCTAATAAAGAAGCTCCAGCTTCTTCTTCTGTTCGCTATTCTGAATATCCCTATCTGCTTAAAATCCCACCCGATGGAGATGTTTCGGAGTATAAATTCTCTTTTCCTGTATTATGGTCTAACGGTCCTGTAACAACCCAGACAGATAGAGTTCCGCCCAGTTCAGTTAAATATTATTTTACCAGCCTACCATAACTGAACAAAACAGCTTCACATTTGGCCCACATTACAATGTCCAGACATTCATCAGGTTGTTGAGTTGTAGCGCGCTTGTCTTATATTCAACCATACATCGAGGGTTTATTTCTGCTCCTGTAATAACCTTCGTTTGGTTGTATATGAAACGACTGATGTCGTAAATACCATTTACACCACGCTCCTACAGAGACTACGATGCAGTCGGTGTCGACGGAGAGGGTGTTGTCGATCTTACAGCGGCTGATGTCACAGTTCTCGGACAACGTGGAGCTTCAAGGTCAAGTCATGTTCGCCCTCAGCCAACTTGCGATGTGTGGAGGTAAATATCCGTCTTGGTGTAAACAAATATGAAGGAGTGATATATTTCTGAAATATCAGGGTTTCACACTTCCATTGAGTTTATGGTTGAGTTTGGTCATCGACTCCGTCCTTGCATAAATCAACATGCACTTATTATCCAAGAACGGTCTTGTAGTCCGATGCAGCACGATGTTGGCACGAAACTTCAAATTCCCAGGATAAGTTACACATAATTGTACAATGTATGATACCTTTTCGTGACCATGATATTTTTGGGATATTGCCATAAGCGTAAACTATTTCAACTTTGAAAAATAATTGAAAGACAGTACAAGTATAACACATGAAAAGGGAAAAATATACACATCCACTTCTGTATTAAGGGGAACACGACGCTTCTAAAAATAGATTCTTACACCTTCATCAGGTGAATACACTCAAAAACGTCGTCTAATAACGTTCACCCCTTCATTATATATCACGAATTTGAATTTGAAAGTCGTGTCTTTACCATGCGTCACTGCACATTTTAGTTTTGGTTTTCTTGATCAACACTCGCATCGTTTGTTTTACAGATGAAATGCAGCATTGTATCCTGAAGAAGGGGTGTGTGAGGTCAGTGGTGACCATCATGGACTTACATCCTGAGGACATCGCCATTCAGGAACATGGCTGTAGAATCCTGGGGAATTTGGCCGTCAATGGTGAGTGCTTCTGTTTGTTGTTCTGACAATACAAAGCATCACCATAGTAAAGATGGAAGCAAGCTGTAGTATATTGTCATTGCTTTAACCTCACTCACTGGACATCTCTACTTTCTACAGAAACCATCAGACGTCAAACGGAAGAAGAGGGTGCTTCTCGTGTTGTAATCGCCGCCATGTTGGCTCTCGACACGTGCGAGGATATACAGGAATATGGCTGTATGGCGCTGATGAACATCACTGCTGACAGTGAGTATATCATATATCATACACAGCGGACACCTGTTTAACCGGAGACAACAGCAGTGAGGTTCTGTTTGCGGTGATACCGGTTGATAAAGTATAAGAATTAAAACAGCATTTCAAAAATCATATATAAATGATTCTGTAAATCCGTCGTTATCCGGACACTGGACTTTATCAGCATTACCGTTATGTTGCAATGGCGTTTGCTGATAAGCATTAAAACATTAATACTGCAGGCATTACACTCGTATTATTTATTTCAGTTAAAGTCAACAAAATCCGAGTTAAGAACAATGGCGGTGTCCTCGCCCTTCTGAGTTCTCTCAAAAACTTTGACAGTCGTCCAAATATCATTTTGTCGTCACTGAAGACACTTGGCAACATCGTCGAACTTGGTGAGTTCAACACGTTGTTTTGAAATAGATCATATCATTGTTTGGATGCGCACGCATTAACTAGAAGCAAGCGATTACATCATCCACCACATTACTGGTCAGATAAAGAGGCAAAGATCGAGAATTTAATTTAGGTCGACATGGGGAAATTCGAATGAAACTCACGCCTTCAGCGCTATATGGGAACACACACACCGATGTGCCACCTCACAAAGCCTACTCGATTATGCATCAGCTTTCACCAGGTCGGTCACTTTTTTCGTTATTGATTTCCTTGCTTTGCTACAGACGAGGTGTGCCGACTTGTGATGGACGAACGTGGACTACGGACAGTGGTGGACATTGCACGTGACCACGGCGCCAACCATGACATACAGGTGTTTGCCGCCATGGTGCTGTGTGGGCTCTCGCGTTTGAAAAGTAAGCATACCCCATAAACATTGATCCAGAAGGTACATACTTCAGCAGTAGTGGAGTGTACATACATGCATGTAGGTCTTAGAAAGTATATTGTTCAGACATTTGACCTTTAGGTCACGAGACCCAAACTGGGTTTCACTTTCTGATACGAATATGATGGACCAGCTTCACACACAAAAAATACTTTATGGGTAAAAATACATGTTATGGGTAAAACAGTCGCTTCCTTCCATGAAGTTTTTCTATCCGAGAATAGTAAACCCTCACACATCGTTTGGGATAACTGACAGTAGGGTTAATACAATTGGACCCATTCCTTGCACCTTGTAGGGAAGGTTTTGTTCACAAGATTGTTACAGCACGGGTGTGCCTTTTGTTAAAGTGAGCGAGTGCGTGATGGTTCTAACAGTTTCGAACACACATTTCACTTATATAACCGTGAAGATCCAGGCAAGAATAATTGGTCTTCTGCAACCCATGCTTGTCGTAAGAGGCGACTAACTGAATCGGTTGGTCAGGTTCGATGACTTGGTTGACACATGTCATCGTATCTTACAATCTATGCTCATGCTGTTGATCACTGGGTTGTCTTGTCCAGACTCGATTATTACAGACCGCCGCCATATGCCTGGAATATTGCCGGACAACAAACAAACGAACAAACATTTCAGTTACCGGTATATAAATGTGTGTTATCCTTATTAGGAAGGAAACCTCATCGTAATATAGAATTTTAAGGTAAATACTGAAACGCGGTGTGTCTATATTCTAAATCTTTGTATTGTAGATCTGAGCACAGAAGAAGTGGAGATGATTGACAGGACGATGACGAGGTTGTTGTCATTGCCGTCGCTGGACGCTGACATCACGCTGTTTGTGTGCCAGACGTTCGAGAACCTTCTAAGTACAGGTACACAATGGGGCCAAAACAATATGGAGAGCGTCGTGGGTTACGGGTAGAAGTGCGATCTCAGTACACAATGATTCCAATTCACAAAGCAGATATATTTACGTGTTCGTTGACTTATTTGCGCTATGTCTACGATTGTTTCACAAAACTCGTTAAAACTCCAGCAAACTACGTAAACCTAATCCGCCCTCCGTCATGGCTGTATCACAATCAGCACGAGAGTTATCTCCCCTGGTAGGTGTTTTTTGCGCCAACGAAGCCCAATAAAATGGCGGACATTTGTCGATTAAGTGTCGATATAATCTGATAGCCACTGTAAAGCTGAAATGGTGACCAAAACAGTTTCACGTTTTGGAAAGATCATGTTGGTCTTGATTATTCGTCGAATCTGCGTGTAGGCACATCTATGTAAAGATACTGAATTGTTTTTATTTTCATGATATTCACATCTTGGTCTATCTCTTCCAGAGCGCGGTATGCGCGTTTTCATGACCGGAAAGAGGCTCGACATGATACTGACCACCATGCAGAAATTCAGTGCCCATCCCGAAATCCTTCAATGCGGCTGTAAAATCATTGCAATTGTGGCACTGGGTAAGTTACTTCACGACGTGGGACATCCACAACGGGTGATCACTAATCCTGACCAGAGTTACCTCCCCTAGGTCAGCGGGTTTTTTCAATGGCTTGACAGGGTGTTCTTAACGCCAAGAGATTTGTGTTTCCTGTATGTGTTTTTGCAACTAAAGTGTATTTAGAATTAATTTTACAGGGTAAATGCGACTGAACAACTTACATCCATTTGCAGATGTGCGCCATGAAATGACAACAGACGCTGTAAGGAGCGTACTTAATGCAATGAAAACATACAGCGACTCGAAGGATTTGCAGATTGTGGGATGTGGAGCTCTGTCGTGCATAAGCGAAAACAACGGTACGTGGTGCATGGCTTTTAATGGCACAGGCGACAGATGTAGCTAATGGGATTGGAGGTTAGGGGTAATACCCCAGCCTCCACGTTTTTCATAGTAGTCGTATTAAAGTTTAAAACAGTAAAAGTGAAACATATTTTCCAACAATCGTTTACATTGAGTGAGTGGGTGAGTTTATGTTTACGCCTCACTCAGTTTTCCAGCTATATGGCGGCGGTCTGTAAATAATCGAGTCTGGACCAGACAATCCAGTGATGATCAGCATCGATCTATGCAACTGGGATACAAACGCAAATCCTTTCTAGAGCAAATTATTTGACTTTCCTGAGCTATATCTGAGCATGGAGTGGTACAATGTACAATAGCACAATGATGTTTGAAGTTTGAGTAACAATGTATTTAAGTGTTTGCTTTAAGGAGTCATTAATTGTCGCCATTGTTGTTACTAAAGTGGTGGATTTGTTGGCCACTCTCTTGGACCATGATAACACCGGTGGTTTTAACATGATTACTGGGTTTGTCAGTCATTAGTCTTTAGAGCCCAGATTCCAGTATGTAGACGCCGCCTCAACGTAACTGGAACATACGTTACTGCGGCGTTAAACAACAGTCGCTCGCTATTTACCCGTCTGTTTTATGCGTCTGTTTGTTATAGGATCTTTGGCGGCATTCGTGCTAGAACAAGAAGGAGTGATGCGTATCTCAGACGCCCTGGCTCAACACCCTGGGGAGGATCGTCTCCACGCTGTGGCTCTCATGGCCCTGGCGAACCTCTCGCCAGTCGGTAGGTTAAGTGTCTCACTACACTGCATCTACCGCACGATAATCGATATTTTGAATACCGATCACTTCCGATATCATAGGATCATATTATATTTTCTGCTTTGATGTCTATTAATAAGACCCTTTGGATACCCTTGTTCACGGCCAGGGGGCGGTGGGCTAGTCTAGCTGTTAAAGCGTTCGCTAGTGGTGCCGAAAGATGGGTTCGCCTGTGAACAATATGTGAAGCCCATTTTGGGTTTGCTCGCACGTGCTGTTACTAGCAGTGGCACAAAGCAATAGTCAATCACTGACTGACTGACTGACTGAGATTGGTTTTACGCCGCTTTTAGCAATATTCCAGCAACATCACGGCGGGGGATTCCAGAAATGGGCTTCACACATTGTGCCCATGTGGGGATTCGAACCCGGGTCTTCGGCGTGACGAGCCAACGCTTTAACCATTAGGCTACCCCACCGCCCCCAATAGTCAATCAATGACTGTTAGTTTATGTTAGAACTATATTGGATCGTGAGTTCAAACCGGATGACTTGGTTAGGTGGATGTCATAGAGCCTGTTAACATAGCAATGGGTTTTTCTCTGGCCCAGGCTCCATACAATTTACAGACTTTGTTGAAGCACGTCTGTATTGCACAATGCGGCATAATGAGTGAGTGAGTTTAGTTTTACGCCGCTTTTAGCAATATTCCAGCAATATCACGGCGGGGGACACCAGAAATGAGCTTCACACTGCGGCATAAAACAACAAAGGGGTCGTTTAGCATTTTAGAGTGGTGACATTACTTTGTTATCTATTCTGAATTATCTATTCTGTTATATACTCTGTGCCTGTCATATGAGTGAGTGATTGAAGTTTGAACCGTTATATAACCTCGTGTTGCAGATTGGTTCCGTTTTATTGGTGATATTTATATATCATTAATTTATGTGTATATGATCATCATTCTGCTTCTGTAACAGATTATTTTGTTGCAGATCCATCTCGAAACCCAGCTTTATTTCATACAACCCATGATCTCGTCTATGGGGCGATGGCGAGATTTCCCGAGAATTTGGAGATTCAAATCTGTGCCTGCAGTGCCATCGCTCAGTGTGATCCTACAGGTTTGAAACGTTTTTCATTTAATCGTAAGAAGAATGTTATGATTATAATAAAACTAAGGAAATTCTCTAATAGCAATGTTCATAAATGCCATTAAAATATATTAGATCGTTAGATAATATCATCTCGTGCTTGGTACCGTTACAAAAACGTACTGGTGTTCAATAATAATAATATATGCAGTTATTATCGCCTTTATTTAGGGGTGATGAAATAAAACAAAACGATTCAAGTCAGTCATATGAAGAGATAGGATCACTTTCGTACCTCTGAAAAACTCCTCTTCGGATTTAGGAAAGATCTTACTCATCAACATGCAATACAAAGCGAACGCCATAGTACGGTTTGGCATGTCTAGCTTTACACTTACATGTCGTGTCGTATATTTCAGCGGGCAACAAATCGTCCAACTTCCTGGAGGCTCTTAAGTACACGATGAGGAGACACGGAGGAAAGGAGGAGATACACATCCCCCTGGCTAAAGCTCTTAAGTGCTTCTGGCGAGGTGAATATATACTACTCAGCCTTCATGAGGGCACTAAGACAAGTTGTGCTGTTACTTGAATTGGGTGGTTTAATGCACCTATTAACAATATTGTAGTTGCTGTACATTACCTACAGCTTGTTCAGCTTGACCTCATCAAGTCAATACTAATGCAACTGGTTGGGTCTATTGTAGTGAAGGGGTGCACCTTTGTCAGTTCATTGTCAACAGCCGAGACAAGGTCGCCGTTTGACATCTCAGTGTCGAGAAATCGTCAGCAATGTCCTAACATTCTTTAAAAAGGAAGCTAGAGATGGTTTAATGTTTCCGATTCGGGCTTTTAGGCATTAATAACCTTCTCTGCTCCCCTTTTTAATGAAGTTAACTTGACCTGCCGTTTGTGCCTTTTGACCTCCCGGGTCATGCATATGTAGAGTAGCTCAGGTCAAGCTGAACAAGCTGTAGTGTCAGCTTGATGTGGCAATGACGTCATGATCAATGACGTAAGTAAAACGTCGCTGAAGGCAATATCATGTTGCAGTTTGTCGCCAAGAAAGCACGAAGTAGTGCAGGGGGCCGTTGTACAAAGCATCTTAGCGCTAAGGGGACCGTAACTCCCATACCTTAACATAGATTTAAGGTAGCCTTAGCGCTAAGGTTGTTTTGTACAACGACACCCAGGTCTTTAACATTACCATTTTAAATACCTTGAAACACGGGTATGGTGCTGAGCAACCAAAATCATCAAGGAGGAACAGGGATTCGAACCCAGTACCATTTCCTGCGCCTTCGACACCCTAAGCCAACCATGTCGCCATGCAACCTGTATCGTGATATAAACTATGTAACGGGAAGGTATTTGACAATTAACACATACGTTTAATTTTAGACAAATACGTCAGACATGACCAGTTTTATGTGAGTGATTCACTTCGAATTTTATTATTTTTACAGGCGGACAAAAAGGCGTTATTACAAAAATACTGGACACAAACCCAGTTTTCCAAAACGTATTCATTGCAGAGCTACAGGACACGGAGGTTCTCTGCATTAGGTAAAAGATACAGAGTGACTCAGATAAGGAACTGTATAAACATAGAACTTCAACGAACTGAAACAGAACGGCCAAAGTTTGAAAACTCAGGATGATATACCGCCGTACTTCTTCATAACCACCCATCACCACGTTTCCTGTCTTTGATCGGCATAACAAATGTCTGTCTTGAAGCCGGGGATGTAAATAATATGTAAATAGTGTTCATCATGATTTACGTGTCTATGAATGATCGTGATCTAGCTGATCTCAAGACATACCTTGTACATAATTAAAATAGGAAACAGTTTGACAGTGTTGCTTGGTAGACAGTGTTGCTTGGTAGACTGTGTTCGGCAACGCTGGACAGTGTTGTACGGTGTTCGGCAGACAACACAGATTAAGATACAGCGGATAACATATGCAATACGTCATAAGTGGGCATTTTGTTCTAATGTATATACTCGCGGAAAAAGATATCTCACAATTTCTTTTTGTTTCATGCTTTGAATTTATTGTGTAACAATTCACGTGCGTTCCCTATGAATTACGTGAAGCGTCTAAGAGTGAGTGAGTTTTGTTTTACGCCACCTTTAGCAATAGTAATATGTGCTATGCATTTTGGGCAGAGAGCTCTGAAATATTTTTATTGCAATACAACATGCATATCTTGAATGACGACTGTAACTTGTTACATGATGGTAACTTTGACTATGCATGGTCAGCCATTGATAGAGGTGCAGTTTTAAAGATGGACATATTTTCCTGTTGCTTATGAACACTTGTTTCTCTGCCGTCCAGTAGAACATTGTGATAGACTAATAAACTATGTCACACTAGTTATGTTTTTATGTCGTATGTTAGCGTCTGGTTGGGTTGATTGTTGTTTGTTAACATCGTGGAGTGATTGAGTTTACTTTTACGCCGCTAACTAAACTATACTATACTAGCCACATAAAGAAACTGTGCACACAGAAAATTCCTTCAGAATTGGAATACAACACAGAAAAGACCAAATGATGTAGACACTTTATAAGCTGAAGTATCGAGCCTCAACAACATGTCAAAACAACATGAACAATATCCGTAACGATGACGTTAGAAGTTTAAAATTGAGTCGGGGGTCACACGTCGAAGTCACTAAGTCAATAACGGGTATGACCATCATGCGCGTGAAGCACAGCTGTGCATCGACGACGCATAGAGGCTCCCAAATTTTCCAAATGAAGGCCTGGGGAATGGTTTGGGACGTGGTCACTGCGGTCTGGAACCTGTGTCTGAGATGAGTCACCCGAATCCATCTGTCCTGTCTTGGCGTCGTTACTAGGGGACGCCTAGAACGTGGGTGGCTGGCGACGTCATTACTGTTTCCATAACGCCTGACCAATGCAGATATCGTGTTACGATGGCATTGGAAATGTACTGCCATCTGTTCTTAGCTCATGCCTGCTCGAACCATTCAAATGGCTTCATGACGTTGAGCAGATGGTAATCTTGGCATGATGTGCATGTGACTTCTCATGTGAATTTGTGAACGTTTGAATGACCAAAGATCAAGCTTTCAACAGTGACAGCAATTTCTGAGTTTCGCATGTTGTGTGCAGCTGCACAGGCTGCACGTGCAGTAACACATTGCAAGTCCAGAGGCCACCATCAATGACGTCACGTCGCCTGGCACCTGCATGAGCGTTTAATTGTCTCCAATATTTGCTATGTTCACACCTATATTTATGTATAAAGGCGCTGTATGCCTATCTTTATATTTTCTGTGTGCACAGTTTCTTTATGTGGCCAGTATATTTATCGATATGATAACTTTGATCGACTTTTAGTGCATTTAAACACGATCTCCGTTACGATTGTTCCAATGTTAATGGGGGCGGTGGGGTAGCCTAATGGTTAAAGCGTTGGCTCGTCACGCCGAAGACCCGGGTTCGAATCCCCACATGGGCACAATGTGTGAAGCCCATTTCTGGTGTCCCCCGCCGTGATATTGCTGGAATATTACTAAAAGCGGCGTAAAACCAAATTCAGTCAGTCAGTCCAATGTTAATGGCTGTGTGTTTCAATCATTAGGAAAGTGCAGGCCAATGTATTTACACTGACGTAGTCTGGTAAGTTGTTTAACGCCGCACTCAGCAATATTCCCGCTATATGGCGGCGGTCTGTAAATAATCGAGCATAGGCCAGACAATCCAGTGATGAGCCATGAGCATCGATCAACGCAACTGGGATACGATGGCATGTATCAACCAAGTCAGTGAGCCTGACCACCCGATCCCATTAGTCGCCTCTTACGACAAGCATGGGTTACTGAAGATCAATTCTAACCCGGATCTTCACGGGACTACACTGACGTACTCGCTCGTTCAGGGGACAATGACATACTGGCCTGTTTGTATTTACAATGACATTCTCGGCGCGAAGTACGGTTTCTAGGCTAGAGAAGTTCCACTATTGGGACAGAAGAACTTCAAATGATTCATATGCTAACCATGCCAATGGCCTAATTCATTACAGAGCCACAGTGTAATACAATATGTTTTCTTAACGATATTTTTTTGGGCATTAAAGTTTCAAAGCATATATACATGAGATATTCTACCTGTCAAACTGCATATTACACGGAGCATGGTTTTGTCGCGCCCCAGTGACCAACGTATGTAAACACAGACAGGTTTATCTTCAATGATCTATGTACAAGAATTCTAGCGTTTCTAAGACTCTTAAGGAGCTAACGCGTTCAAGTGGACAATCAGTCAAAAATCAATCAGTTTGATAATTAGTATACAGCGTGGTTCTAGACGAGCCATGACAGCTGATCAATCATTGGTGTTCAATACGGATCAAGGGGCCATCTCATAACGAAAAGGTAACCTTATGACAGCGTGAATTGTCAAGTTAAAAAGTAGTTTGAAATGCATTTGGCGAATTGGGATATTCCTTTGTCTCCACAAACAAACAACGTACAATGTTAGGTAACTGAGTCCTATTGAATTGATACATAACGTGGCTTATGTTGATGACTCAGCCAACATACTATTTTGAAATGTGTCTATATGTTATTGATGAAAAAGATACTATACGTTATCTCACGCCCATCAGGTTAAACAGGTGTTTTCAAGATCAAAGTACGTCTGAAACAGTTGTTTATCTCGCTCAAAGGTTCCTAAAACCTTTTTTCTGAGAAATACGACACAATAATTATGTAACAATGGAATAAGGTGCAACCAAAATTATAAAAGACTTCTTTTATCCAAATCTAATCACGTAACATTATGAAGCTTGTTGGCGAGTTACGCCCTATATGAGATTACGACAATACCTAAAGTGTAACTGTCGTGTCGTGATAACAAGCTGCGTAACTAACGCGCAAATAGAGTGTATTCACCCAGTGGATTTGAGACCATGTTGTCTATCCCGACTTTTAGATCCTATCTGCGATTACGGTCCTAGAGTGACACATGAGTATAGAACGTGACTGGGTAACGCAGGTTGCATAGTCGACCGTAGCGAGTCTAATGACAATAAACTGTATCACGAGTCCACAAACGAGTCACAAAGCTGTACGGTTGTAATGTCCGTTGGAAGGTGCAGATTGAACTGCGGTACACTGGAGCTTGCGTGTTGTCGAGCTATGTAAGAGGGTGTGTATGCGATCAGATGGTGTGCCTGTTATGTAATTAAGGCAATTAAAAATACATTAATTTGTTTTGAAGACTAGTTTTGAGTGACTATATGCCTGTGTGTATGTAATACCTACCTGGCCGAATTACTTAACAGCCATGTGTACTGGCGGTTAAAAGAAACGCTATTTCAAACTGCGGTTGGAATATATTTGTTTTGCATTCGTTGCTTAAAGATAACCGCTGGCCTGACTATTATAAGCGACTAATCCTCAAATGACATGATCAAACACATTTTTGCAATTACAATTAATTACGACATCAAGCTGCAACAACATCTAGTTTCAGTCATGATGGAATTCCGGGTTCCAATAGACTGCACTGGACAGATTCAAAGTTAACATTAAACTTGCCTTTTAAAAATCAAGGTTTGACAACACGTGTTTAAATTTATCAAAACCTGAGACAGGAACAAGGAGCGCCTAATCCCAAAGCGGAAACGATTTATCCCGACGCCACTTCTCGACCTGGCCGCTCTTTCCAGGGATAAAGAAACGCTCTATAGTTTATACCTCAGATTAACGACTTCCGGTTGATGCTAAAAGTGGGATTTCTGGTCGAAATTAGGGAGCTTTGTTGCACACTTACTTCACGTCAATCATTCCTGTCTCAGATCGTTGTCAATTGATTAATTGAATCAATGGTATAACGGCAAGACCTTTGTGCTTGCTTTCAATAAGAGGTTAATGATGTTATTCTTTTATTATAATGATGATGTGTCTCATTCAAATTACGGGGCTGAAAGTGCATATGTTCGGTTCATCTCAGTGACAGATTGTATGAAACATTACCTTTGAGGGTACGGTTGGCACACACGTCTTAGACGCCATAATTCACTGTGGAGAATTTCGACCCTTAGTTGAGCCCCAAACCTTTTGTCGGGGGTTCGAATCTCAAACTATTTTCATGTGTCCAGGGCCCCGTTCCTCAAAACGAGTGGTGCTACGACAGTCGTAAGTCTATGTTAAAGTATGGGAGTTACGATCATCTTTGAGGAACGGGACCCTGGTTTTTCAGTAACGGCCCTAGGAGTTTATCGATGTAACGTCTTGTTGGAAAGCTGATGATTTCCACGGTTATTTCTTTCATCGACATTTTAAAGATGACTTTCCCGTAGACATCTTCAAGAAACGGCACCGTTCAAATCCCATGTCGGGCTCTGTTTTGTGTAGGAACATGGGTAAACCTTCAGGGCTGGTCTAAGCGCTCATCTGATTTGCCCCGTAACATACACTCCGGATTATTTTGCAAACGTGTCCTTCAAATAGATTCCTTACTACTAGATTCCAATAATCTTATGGCAAAGGCATAAACTCCGAATCTCCATCTTTACTTTCGTTTGATTAAGCCGGTCCCGAGTTGGTCTTCATTACGTGCATGAGTGAGTTTAGTTTTACGCCGCACTGAGCAATATTCCACCTTTATGGCGGCGGTCTGTAGTGAGTGGGTGAGTGAGTTTGGTTTTACGCCGCTTTTTGCAATATTCCAGCAATATCACGGCGGGGGACACCAGAAATGGGCTTCACACATTGTACAATCCAATGATCAACAGCATGAGCATCTTACTAAGCAATTGGGATACGATGACATGTGTCAACCAAGTCAGCGAGTCGCCTGACCACGGGTTACTGAAGATCAATTCTAACCCGTTGGTCGTCCTCTCACGACAAGCACGGGTTACTGAAGATCAATTCTAAACCCGGATCTTGATCGGGTCGGTCTTCATTACAGAACGCAACATCTGATCACAATGACAAGGATGCACCAGTGTTGCACAATCCCCTCTTTTTGTTAGCGGACAGATACAACTGCTAACATCGTCGAAATATTTGTAACACACAAATGTACGGGAACTATTGATCTGTTGAAATACTCTTAACCACTGATCCAATTGCGCTAAGCACATGCTAACAAAGCCCCGAGACAGTATCTCTATAAAGACACCAAATAATGAATTGTGAATACGATAAAGTATAGGGGGCGTCAGTATTCCAAGTTTCTCACCAGTGAAGATCCGGGTTAGAATTGGTCTTCAGCAACCCATGCTTGTCGTGAGAGGTGACTAACGGTGGTCAGACTCGCTGACTTGGTTGACACATGTCATCGTATCCCAATTGCGTAGAAAGATGATCATGATGTTGATCACTGATCAC